CAGGACAGTATATTTTTGACAAATTATGTCCCAAGGTTGCACTGATCTTTGCTGTTGTAATACGATCTGTTGCACTGTACATATAGTATAGGCCAGTGCAAGACAAAGCTTGTTCAGCAGAACAAGCACTCTAGTAGAAATATTTGCTGTTGCAAAGTTGTGCAAAGTTGTAGCATCATGCAGAAAAGGGCAATGTAAGGGATGAACAGATGGCTTACCTAATTGGTTGCACCTGCTTCCATCATGTTACTGAAGAAATCTAGCTGTCCAGTCTGAAGCCTTTAACAAGGGTGGCTGGGCATGATGTCAACATAGAGAGGAAGGGAGTCTAACTTGGTAGCCCTTTGCCATCTTGGGACTACTTAAAAAGGGTTGCACAGCGTTGAAAATTAAATGCTGATAACCATTGGGAGAAATAGAAATAGACCTTTTATGATGTGGCAACAAACACTATATAATCACACTGGATAAAGTTTCATTCTGGATGTCATGGTCTAGAACATGGACCCTATGTTAACATATCGCTTGTCTTTTTTGAAGTTAAATGCTGTGTTCATATTTCTTTGTAAGCTTACAATGCTTGACCGTGAATGCTTAGTTACCATACTCTGCTCTAAATATTTTTCTTAATAGGTGAAAAATTTTGCTGTTATTTACCTTGTGGATATCACAGAAGTACCAGACTTCAACAAGATGTATGAACTGTACGATCCCTCTACAGTCATGTTTTTCTTCAGGTATATTTTATTCCTACATTTCATTGTAATGTATATGTTCTCCATTGATAAGCTGTGCAAACATTATTATACAATAACACCTCTCTTATTGTACTATACTGTGTTGACTGTAATCAGAATCTGATTCTTTACTCATGCCAGCCATTCTGTTAGGAAGCTGCAGTCTTCAAAACTAAGGGTAACCCTCTGGGCCATTTGTGATATTACAGGAGTTGATGGCTTTTCTGCAAAGCCTTGTTTTAGTGAGGAAAATCAAGTGAGCCTGTTGAAGTGAACTACAAGAGTTGGGCTACTGGATCCAGTCAGTTGGCTTAAGCGACAGCAATGTTACAGCTGAAGCTGTTGTAGGAGGCAAAACCAGTTGACACTACCTTAGTTACCAGCGTACCTCCAGCTGTTTTCTTGCTATCATTTTTTTGTCAGTTTCTTTTGCTCTTGCAGGTCAAAAATAGTCATAAAAGATGCTATGCAGGAGAGTTTAGGAGGAATGATGCCTCTCCCTGAATGTAAAGTATTTTATTAGGTACAGCTGTTTCTGGGCAATGGACTGTCTCTTCGTGCAAGCAATTGGATTATTTACATATGGTCTTATGAATCACTGCCTTGGAGTTGCAGCTCCTAGAATAGGTTGGAAAGCTGTCAGAATTGCAGTGTCAGAAATAAATACATGCATATTAGTGGCCTCTCTTTTTACTTCTCAGTTTGCTTTATCCAGGCTTTAGAACTTTTAGATTAAATGTTATGCATAAGAAATCTGAAGTGGCAAAATTTGCTAGTTATTTTTGTTTGTTTTTATATTTGGGTGTGAAGTTATATGGAAACGGGTCATTTCGTAGAAAAAGAGCTAGGGGGACTCATTAGCATAACTTATTAGCATATGCCACACCCCCTGACATCACCGGAAGTGTGTCCTCCCCACAGCCGGCGGCGACCTCCAGCGGGCACCAGCAGGGAGCTCCAGGCCCCGCCCTCCCACACCTCACCCGGGGGGTGGCGTCCCCCCCCCCAAATGACCCCTGTATGGAAATAATATTAGAACAGATTTCTGTATGATATTTGAATTATTAGTAGCTGTATCTTTGGGGTGATGTTCACAATTTGAAACGAATGATGGTTAAACACCCAAGGTTATAATTTTGACTTAAACTTTAATCTGAGGTTTTATTATGCTAGACCTGTAGAAAGGTGATAAGTGGAGAGGGACAATGAATAGAGATACTAGTGACCCAAAATACTGAGTAACTTCATAAAGAAGTAGATCATTCACTGATGTATTTCTCCTCTTTTCTTTTCTTAAAGAAACAAACACATAATGATTGATTTAGGCACAGGCAACAACAACAAAATTAACTGGGCGATGGAAGACAAGCAAGAGATGATTGACATCATAGAAACACTTTATAGAGGTGCTCGTAAAGGTAGAGGTCTTGTTGTATCACCCAAAGACTACTCAACCAAATATAGATATTAATGCTTTGGACCTTTATAAAATAAATGTTTGTATATAATGCCTTTGCTTGTTTACATCTTTTCATTGTGAGTATGTTTGAAATTACATAAATATTTTCATGGCACAAGTGATGCTGTTAGCTGTTTTATTTCAGAAATAAAGTATCATGTTCATCATGTTCAATGTAAAGAGTTTTAGATCTCATTTTTCACCCAGAATGATACAGGTAATCTTGTTCACTGTTGGTAACATGAACTTTGGTGAGCTGCGACATAACAGTAACATGAGAACAGTATGTTTGAATAGAGTATAAATAAAATCAGGTTTATGGAAAAATCCTAAAAGTTAGAAATAGTGTGTATGAAATGTCTCCTTCCACATAGCTAGTCCAGAGCAAGCCAACCCAGTGAGCAGAACTGGGTGATGGGGATGCTCAGAAATGGAACCAGGTGTAATGAGTAAACAGGAAAGGATGGTGGAATAATGGAGTCCCTGACTGGAATGTAATGCAAAGGGGTTGGTCATGTTAGGACAGAGCAGTCTGTGTTGTGGGGCTGGAGAAGTAAAGACAAGGAAACAGAAAGGATGTTTAAGGACTAAGTAGGGCGTAGTTGTAGGGAGATTGGAATCATACTGTCCCGGTCCCGATGGTCCGGGCCTCTTCCCCGACCCCACGCCCGGTGATTCCCCCGCTTACCACGGCCGACAGCCTTGGGGAGACACCGCGGAGTTCTGAGGCAGGCAAGGAGGCAACTAACCAGGATGCAGAGAGGGGCGAGCATGGTGGGTGTTCAGCCCCTTACCCGCAGAGCCTGTCCCCGTGTGTGCGGTAGGAGGGCAGGCCCGCCAGAGGGCCAGCTGGGATCCGCCAAGTATTTGTCAGCTCTTGACCTAACCAAAGGTTACTGGCAGGTCCCCGTATATCCCCCTGACAAAGGGAAGACCGCATTTGCCCCCCCTCAGGGGCTCTTTCAATTCAAAAGAATGCCTTTCGGACTCCACGGAGCCGCCGCTACTTTCCAGCGTCTCGTTGACAAAGTGATGTCCCAATGTGAAGGATTTGCCCATGCCTATCTGGATGACATAATCGTATGTAGTCCGGACTGGCAATCACACCTTCGCCACCTCAGAGCAGTACTCACAGCACTGCGTGACGTCGGTCTCCGGGCCAACCCAAGGAAAAGTAAGCTAGGCTTACAGGAACTAAAATATCTTGGGTATATTGTAGGGCGAGGTCAACTCCGCCCTCTTCCGGAGAAGGTAACCGCGCTGGAAGAACATCCACGACCCACAACCAAGAAACACCTACGACGGTTTTTAGGGGTTATGGGCTATTACAGCCGTTTCATCCCCCGATTCGCCACTATGGCTAGTCTGCTCACCGATTGCCTGAGAAAAGACAGGCCGAACCAGTTACGGTGGGGCTCAAGAGAATGCCTTTCGGAAGCTGCTACAGAGTTTGTCGGGGGGTCCTGTCCTCCACAATCCCGACTTTGACCACCCGTTTGTGGTCCACACCGACGCATGGGGAACGGGCCTTGGGGCCGTCGTGTCCCAAGAACTCGATGGAGAGGAACGCCCGGTCCTTTCCCTCAGCCGGAAGTTACAACCTGGGGAACAACGTTACTCAACAGTAGAGAAGGAGGCCCTAGCGGTTAAATGGGCCATCGGGGCGCTGCAGTATTATTTAACCAATAACCCCTTTAAGTTAATCGTTGATCACACGCCACTTTTATGGCTGTCGTGAATGAAAGATAGTAATCCCCGTATACTCCGTTGGTACCTGTCACTTTTACTTTTTCGTTTCACAGTTCACCATCAAGCCGGAAAGGATCATCATATGGCCGATTATTTATCCCGCCTCTTTGAAGAGGATTCCCCCCATCAGAAAGCCCGGTGGGGGGGGTATCCCGGTCCCGATGGTCCAGACCTCTCCCCCGACCCCACGCCCGAGACCCACCCGGCGATTCCCCCGCTTACCACGGCCGACAGCCTTGGGGAGACACCGCGGAGTTCTGAGGCGGGCAAGGAGGCAACTAACCAGGATACAGAGAGGGGCGAGCGTGGTGGGTGTTCGGCGGCGTCTCAGCCCCTTCCCCGCAGAGCCCATCCCCGTATGCGCGGTAGGAGGGCAGGCCCGCCAGAGGCGCCGTCATCGATGAGGCCAGCGGGGCCTTCGCAGCCGAAAGATGGCCTCCACGCCCCTGCTACGGTCGGGGGCGGACCGCCTCCACCCCTTTGCAGAGCGTCGGAGCTCTTATAGAGAGGCGGAGCCACCCGAGATTGACAACTCAGTGTCCAATAGGAACGGAAGAGGAGTCAGGGAGGGGGATAAAAGGGGAACAGGAAGGGAGGCCGGGGAGGAAGAAACTGCACAGTGGAGGACGGAGACTGGATGCCAGAGAGAGAGGTGACGAGGCGGACGCCTCCCGTGGCTCTCGCAGGGGACCGTGTCTACCATTGGTGACAGAACCAGGTAGCCGGCCCTATTTCTGAGGCCTCCCGTTCACCTTTATGATGGATGAAGACTGGCAGATGGTTGGGTAGAAGCCATCTATAGAACTCAGAGGGCTCAGGGAACCATTCTTACATCTTGGTTCCCTTGTAATTAATGGGGAAGATTCACTCTTGGCTGGAACTGGAATGAGAGGCCACGGACAGGAATGACTGCCCCAAGTTGGAGCAGGAGGGTTTTAGGGACTGGAATGACAGGCCACGGAGTGGAATGACGGCCCCAGGGTGGAGCAGGAGAGTTCTGGAACTGCGATGACAGGGACAAGAGTAGAAAGACGGCCCCAGGGTGTAGGAGGAGTGTTCCGGGACTGGGATGCCAGGAGTGTTCAGGAACTGGAATGACAGGGCCACGGAGTGGAATGACAGCCCCAGGGTGGAGCAGGAGTGTTCTGGAACTGCAATGACAGGGACAATAGTGGAATGACGGCCCCAGAGTGGAGCAGGAGTGTTCTGGGACTGGGGTCACAGGCCATGGAGTGAAATGACAGCCCCAGGGTGGAGCAGTAGTGTTCAGGGACTGGGATGACAGGGCCAAGAGTGGAATGATGGCCCCAGGGTGTACCAGGAGTGTTCTGGAACTGGAATGAGAGGCCACAGAGTGGAATGATGGTCCCAGGTTGGAGCAGGAGGGTTTTAGGGACTGGAATAACAGGCCACGGAGTGGAATGACAGCCCCAGGGTGTAGGAGGAGTGTTCTGGGACTGGGATGACAGGCCACAGAGTGGAATTACAGCCCCAGGGTTGTGGATGGAGTGGAATGACGGCCCGAGGGTGGAGCACCCTGGGGCTGTCATTCCACTCCGTAGCCCTGTCATTCCAGGTCCTGAACACTTCTGCTCCACCCTGGGCCTGTCATCCCTGTCCCAGAACACTCCTCCTACACCCTGGGGCTGTGATTCCACTCCGTGGCCTGTCATCCCTGTCCCAGAACACTCCTCCTACACCCTGGGGCTGTGATTCCACTCCGTGGCCTGTCATCCCTGTCCCAGAACACTCCTCCTACACCCTGGGGCTGTGATTCCACTCCGTGGCCTGTCATCCCTGTCCCAGAACACTCCTCCTACACCCTGGGGCTGTGATTCCACTCCGTGGCCTGTCATCCCTGTCCCAGAACACTCCTCCTACACCCTGGGGCTGTGATTCCACTCCGTGGCCTGTCATCCCTGTCCCAGAACACTCCTCCTACACCCTGGGGCTGTGATTCCACTCCGTGGCCTGTCATCCCTGTCCCAGAACACTCCTCCTACACCCTGGGGCTGTGATTCCACTCCGTGGCCTGTCATCCCTGTCCCAGAACACTCCTCCTACACCCTGGGGCTGTGATTCCACTCCGTGGCCTGTCATCCCTGTCCCAGAACACTCCTCCTACACCCTGGGGCTGTGATTCCACTCCGTGGCCTGTCATCCCTGTCCCAGAACACTCCTCCTACACCCTGGGGCTGTGATTCCACTCCGTGGCCTGTCATCCCTGTCCCAGAACACTCCTCCTACACCCTGGGGCTGTGATTCCACTCCGTGGCCTGTCATCCCTGTCCCAGAACACTCCTCCTACACCCTGGGGCTGTGATTCCACTCCGTGGCCTGTCATCCCTGTCCCAGAACACTCCTCCTACACCCTGGGGCTGTGATTCCACTCCGTGGCCTGTCATCCCTGTCCCAGAACACTCCTCCTACACCCTGGGGCTGTGATTCCACTCCGTGGCCTGTCATCCCTGTCCCAGAACACTCCTCCTACACCCTGGGGCTGTGATTCCACTCCGTGGCCTGTCATCCCTGTCCCAGAACACTCCTCCTACACCCTGGGGCTGTGATTCCACTCCGTGGCCTGTCATCCCTGTCCCAGAACACTCCTCCTACACCCTGGGGCTGTGATTCCACTCCGTGGCCTGTCATCCCTGTCCCAGAACACTCCTCCTACACCCTGGGGCTGTTATTGCACTCTTGGCTCTGTCATTCCAGTTCCTGAATACTTCTCCTCCACCCTGGGGTTGTCATTCCACTCCGTGGCCCTGTCATTCCAGTTCCTGAACACTCCTGGCACACCCTGGGGCTGTCATTCCACTCTGTCGCCTGTCATCCCAGTGCCTGAACACTCCTGCTCCACCCTGGGGCTGTCATTGCACTCTGTGGTCTCTCATTCCACCCCCAGAGTAGTGTATTTGGGCCCAGAGACCCTAATGGAAAATCCTTTCCGCATTTTTATTGCAACTGTACTTGTACTCGAATGTTTTCTAATGGAGCAAGTCAATTGGCAATCCTAGCTTCCATTATTTCCAATGGGCTTTCCAGCGTCTCCCACTGTTTCCAATGGGCAATCCTGCCTTTCCTTTTAGTACATCCCCCCTCTCAGTGCCACATTCCGCTGGTTTCCGTTTTCGTTAGCCCCATAGATTTCATTGGGAGTCTGCAATGATGAGGCCGTCCGTTGCATAAACCTGATTTGGAGGCCGCTCATTCATGTCTGGATGGATTACTCCCAGCTAAGATTAACAACAGCCAATCACGCAGTGCGCGCGCCCCCACCCCCATACTTAATTCTGTGAAAATCCAGGGCTTGGCAAAAGTAAGGGAAATTTTCCCAGCTGCCACGTTTTGACCCTTGCCATTAAGTGATTATTATTTTAGGCAGCTCAGAGGGTAGCCGTGCTGGTCTGCAATAACAGAGTTAAGTCTAGTAGCACCTTAGAAACCCTGGTTGGTCTCTTACGGCGCTGCTAGGCTCGAATCTAAAGCAACCCCGTTTCATTTTAAACCTCAAATGTCGCCCGAGGAACATTTTCCTTACATTTCTCCATCTGAACCTGTCGTGTTTCACGACACAACAGGATTGCGGTGTTTTTGTCATTGGGTCAACGGACTCTTTTAATAGCCCTTGCACCTTGACCGTGGCTTTGATAACCTTTTCCCACACTGGTGTGCAAGCAGCAGCACCCAACAACAATGACGCCGGTTCACACAGTCGTCCCGTTAACACCGCCGGGTTTCATTCTGCAAGGAAGGCGCCGTTGGAGATTTGAGGCGGCCTCCCTCTTTCCTTTCAATTTACGCAAGCCTGCTCCCTGCCGGTGGTGGAAAGGGACGCAAAGACCGAGCCGCGCGCGTGTCATTCCAAGGACGACCTTACACACCTACTAGGTCACGCGAACCGCAAATGACCAAGGCGAGACAGTCCCCTCCTTGGGAGAGCCACGAGAGCGAAGGACACTGGGAAGGGATCACGTGCTTCCTGCGGGGCAAGGTCGGCCCCTCTTAGGCCGCGCAATGACGCAAGCGCGCTCCGTCCCGCATGCCGCCACGGGGCCCCCCTCCTTCAAGAGCGGGATGCGTCTCGTGCACATGCGGCCTCTTCCACGCCCCTGCCTTCAGACTCCGCGCGAAACCCTGAGAGGCTGCCATAGTCGCGGGGAAGCAGCCATGGGGGCGGGGCTCGGTCTCTGACGCGGGGGGGGGGCGGTGGCTTGTCCCGGTGACGTCGGCGAGAGCGGTGTCGTCATCGCCATTCCTTTGCCGGAGAGGAAGCGCAGCCTCTTTTCTCTTTTAGCGAAGACGCCGGCTCCTGCCATTAAGACGCCGCCGCCGCCGCCGCATTCCGAAGCCCCGCAGGATGAAGATCTGGAGTTCGGAACACGTGTTCGGGTAAAGGGGGGGGGGCGTGGTGCGTCCTCCTCTTTGGGGTGCGGGTGAGGGGGAGAGGGATGAGTTGTGGGGCGCACCGGAACCCTTCCCTCCTTTATTCTTGCTTTGGAAACGTCCGCCCTGGTTTCAGGCAACCTGCCCGGCTTTGTGAGCCCCGCGCCGGAGCCCCTCCTTTCCTCAGCTGGCCCCCCGGGGGTGCCGCTTAGAGAGCTTGGCCACAGTGCTGCAATACGGGTGTTTCCACATGTCAACTACTGTTGTGTGGGCTATCTTGGCAGCCCACCTGTGTTGCCCTGAGCTCTTCGGAACGGGGAGGGGGCTGATAAATATTTGCACCTGAACAAATTCCTTGCGGCGACGCCCCCTTCTTCTTCTTTTTTAATTAATATTTTATTATTTTTCACGTAACATGTTTACAACAAAAATATCATACATTTTGGAACACTATACATACTATTACATCATATTATACACAGTGTCACTGGCAATGTCTGCTTAATATGTATATATTAAGAAAAAAGTTGACGCCCCCTTCTTCCAGAGTCGTCAGCACGCGTTGAAGAAGTGCTGTTACGAAAGAGCCCTGCTGTGACAACCAGCACGGGGGAGGGGGGATGTACAGGAGTCCCGGCTTTGCTCGGTGGCTGAAGTACATGTTATTCTTGATGGTTTCCCGTCATCTCTCTTTCTTCTGGAAAGCTGGAAACGTTTATCCATTCATAGAACTGTCCTCCTTTCCCTTCATACAAATGCTTGAGTTATTTGGGACAAAGACTTCGTCTTTCAGAGGTCATGTCATGGCAGTGAGCTGCTAGGTAGGATTGGTTTCTAAAAATACTCCTGTGTGCATAAACCATGTCGCATTAGTCTTATCATGTCACTGGCAGGGAGTGGGTAGTCCTTCCTCATGTCTCTCAAGAGACCTGGGGGCTCTACCCGAGGAGGTGTCACCCTTGAGACTCTAGTTCTTAGGACTTTGTGTTGTATGGTGCGGAGCATAGGCTAGAGAGCAGTGTTCCCTCTAAGCTGAGTTAGTGTTCGCTAGCTCACAGTTTTTTAGCTTCCAGCTCACAGATTTCAGTCTTTGCTCAGGAATGATGGTTCCAGAGCAAACTATGCAGTAGCCAAATCGCTCGCTCACAACTTTAATGTCAGTAGCTCACAAAGTAGAATTTTTGCTCACAAGACTCCACAGCCTAGAGGGAACATTGCTAGAGAGTTTAAGAGATGGGGTGTTTTATTCTCCTTTATAAGAGTACGACATTGGTATTGCAATAAACACCAAGTAATAAATAAGCTTTACTGCTGAGAGGCATGAGTGTAGTGTTGAAATCATTCCATCTGGCAATGTAACAGGAAATTAGCACTCCAGGGATGGAGGGTGAAATTAGAAGGGATTATTGCCACATCTTTGTTTCTACTAATTTAATTCCTAATTGTGTCTTGCTGGAATTTTGCAGTGAGGCAAACTGGGCCACTGCTTGTAAAAGGCTGGTCTTATCTAAATGTACAGACAGTTTGCTTTGGGAAAGATAGTTTGCTTATTCTTATTAGGTCTTGTTTGGTATTAATGATGAGAACTTCTGTCATACCGTCTGAGGAAGGTAGGCCCCTGCCACACAGTGTGTGTGGGGGGAAGTACGGCCAAAGTGCGGCCTTTTAAAGCCGCACCAAAACAAACACGCGGCGGCGGGATCACATAGATCCCCTGAGCCGCCATGCAGTTCCTCCCCGGCACGATCAGATGCCAGGGGGGAAGCTACTGAAGGGAGAGCAAGGCTGCCGAACTGCGCATGTGCGCGAGTGCGCAGTTCGGCTGGGAGCCTGGATTGCTCCGGACGACGGGCGCAGCAGTTATCCCACGGCCATGCTTGCTGCGGTGCTTCAGGTAAGTCCTCCTCTGTAGGAGGTTCTTTTTTGCAGCGGCTTTTCTGGGTTTAGGGACGGATTGGGGACGGGTGCGCGCCGCTTCCCAGATGTTGCAGTGAGATCGCGCCCGTTTGCTGTGCCCCTGATCCGTCCCTCTCCCGGGCCAAAAACATCTGTGTGACCGGGGCCATAGAGTAGCAGCCTGGGGCATAAACATGCCAAACTGATTTAATTAATACCTTGGACTGACTCATGATACATAGGTAACACACCTTGTGACTATCTAGCAGCTAAGTATAATAGCTTGGATCTTGCCAAAAATATCCACTGGTGGAAGGGTTTCCGTCAGTGGAGGTGACTTTATTTGTGTTCCCCCTTCACTGTAGCCTGAAATGCCCTCTCAAATTCCACATCTTAAGAACAGGTGACCCCAAGGAACAGTATGAAGGAGGAACTGGATGTGTGCTGCAGGGATGAAGATTGGTGACAGTTGCTCTTTCTCCATCGGTGGAAATCTTCTGTAGGATTCAACCTAATACCTGTTCTTCTATATGTTATAATTGGATGAAGATCTACAGTTCTGTAACAAGGAATATTCTCAGTGAACATAAATCATTTATATTATTCGTCCTCTTACTTTTCTGCTGCAGTTGTGCAGAATTATAGTAAGGCCACACTGGGAGTAAGCCCCATTGACACCGATGGCAACTGTTTCTGAGTAAACATGAACAGAGTTAGGCTATTACATGAATACTGAGATATTAAAAGCTTATTTTGTATGGAGCTTTAAGAGTCTGCAGAGCAGCCTGCTGTGGCTCAAGAAGAGGAACTCTTTAATCCAGACTTTGTCCTGTAATCTAAAGTTTGCTAGTTCAGTTGTGACTTAGACACTCTAAGCTTGCAGACACTGAAACACATTGGGTCTGCTGGCATTTGCTTTGCATCTGTTTATGGCTTTTTTGGGGGGGATGGGTTTCTTTAGCTATCTGGAAGAACAGCAAAAAGGTAAACTGTATTGTGTACATATTTATCTTTAAGCTCTTTTCATCTGCTCTTAACATGTTCAGTCCCACAGCAGAGTACGCCTCAAGGTCTTGGCAACACTGGACAAAACTGTGAGGGACATCAGTTCTATGAAACTTTTGCTGCATTACTTGTTTGTTTAACAGCCCTGCAAAAGATCTGCAGGCTCCTTATTTGAACTTTCTGGTGTGCATCAGTGGCTGATAGAGCACCCTTCTAAGAAGGTAGATCCCTGAATTTGTCTTATCCCCAGTATGGGTTTGCTGCTGTATCTTGCTGGCAGTGCATGGAATACAGAAGGAGACTGTTGCGTTGGAGTTTGGGAACTTTAGGGCTTATGGAGGGGCTGTAGGTGATCTAGCCCACTTTACTATTTCTAGCTGCTGTAGCTGCAGAAATTGCTAATAGATTGCTGCTGAATCAGAATGGTTGTATTTGTAATCAGACTGTTCCGTTTATTACATTTTCCATGATACTCAGTATTGAGATGCTTAGAACCTGACATGCACACAAAACAGTATGACTCTGTGATCTGGTCCTCGAGAGAGAAAGTGGCTTTCAGCCTTTGCCCGTTGTCCAGTTTATTCTCAACAACCTAGTGAGATAGGTTAGGCTGAGAGTGTGTGTCTGGGGTCAAGGTCACTGATTATGCTTTCATGCCAGAGTGGAAATTTGAGCCTGGGGATCCTAGTCCAGTACTCTAATCACTACGCTAAACTGGTTTTAAAAGCACTTCATTCTATACATCAAGCATGTATACAGTGCGCTCTGTCTTGTGCCCCTAAGTTTTAAATCGTGAATTTAATAAGTAAATTCTAGTTAAAATCTCTGCTGCTGTGTCATTAGTATGTGTATTTGACATTTCCCAGAATGTAATTTCAAGACGTTCTTGGGCCAGTATTGCATGTATTGAATCCTTAAACATGTGTCACTTAATTCTCTTCTGTTTTATATTCCTAGACATCCATGGGACACTGTAATAAAAGCTGCTATGCGAAAGTACCCCAATCCCATGAACCCATCTGTGGTAGGAGTCGACGTTCTGGACCGAAGTCTTGATAGTCAGGGACGGTTGCACAGCCACCGACTTCTGAGCACTGAATGGGGGCTGCCGAGTATTGTTAAAGCTGTAAGTTTTTAATGAACGGAATAATTTTAGAACAATAGTCATGTTGCCCAATTGCAGAAAAAAAATAGGCGGGAGTCTAACTGCACCTTCTTCAACTCTGCTGGTCTTTAAGTGCTGCTAGACTCCTGCTAGACTGCTTAGAGACTGAATCATTGTGGGCAGTGATACGGTGAAGCAGTGAGTGGAATTTTCATTGGAAGTAGATAACGTCCAGAACTACTCCGTAAGCTTTTTGTACTTTTTCTGTGCCCATCTTGGGACAGCATTGCATACAACCGCTGCAGTATTGAATGCTCACATTGAGGGTTCAGAATGGAGATGTGTATGTAGAGGAACAAGCACAAGGGGACTGATTGTTCTGACTGGGCTTTTACCACAGCATGCTTTACAGGAATACCTTTATCAGTAACCTTGGATATGTTCATCAGTGTCAATTTGGATTCATATGTTTGTCCTTCCTTTTTAGATTCTGGGAACAAGTAGAACTGTTACATATATTAAAGAACATTCTGTGGTAGATCCAATGGAAAAGAAAATGGTGCTGTGCTCAACGAATGTAAGTAATGACTCAAAGTAATGTATTTTGCACCTGCTAGTAGGACAGGTGAATTCCTGATTGCTGTTTTAATGCACTGGCCGTTGAAGGCTTTCCCAAAGCAGAAGCATGCCATTGTAAGGCTAAAACTGGAACCACAATAAGTGGGGTTTTTTTGTTCAGACCAGGTATTTGTTTATTTGTTAAGAAAATGTAATTTTAAAAAGTCCCACCTTTCTGGGTCAGAACAACTACTACGGCAAGTAAAACCAGCACTAAAATCTCAGAGCAGGATTAAAATCCTATGGGTAGCAAATGGAATTTCTGATAAGTAGTAATGATCATAGCCATAGAGCACTGTGGTAGTATTAGTCTTACAGAAATTATCTGGAAGGATTCAAGGTGAAATGGCACATAGTAATACTTTTGTCTTGGGTTCCTGTGCGTTAGATCAGTGGTTCTACACTTATAGAGTAGGTTATGCGCCTATAGGGTAGTTCGCTCCGCATCTCATGAATGTTGGCATGAAAGCATCTTCTTCCAGATGCTAGAGGAGCTAAGCACTGTCTGTGGTTCTACTATGCTACCTGCATGTGTGTGGAATCACACACGTATATGAAAGGAAGTTGCCTTTTGTGTAGAGAAGCACAGGATTTACTTTGACTTTTGACTGCACCAGCTATAACTTCTGAATTGCATACCTGAAGACTAAAAGGAGAACAGTAGTGAGAAAAATGAATTTTCCTTTTTTCCCCTCTCCCTTAAGATTACACTTACAAATCTTGTATCAGTCGATGAACGATTAGTCTATACGCCTCACCCTGAAAACCCTGAAAAGTAAGTTGGAATGTTCTTTATCTTTGCCTTTTAGTCTGAAGTGTTAAATCAGTAAGGTGTTGTTTCTGTACTGATACCATTTTTTCCTCCCCTTTCAGAACTGTGCTAACCCAAGAAGCAATTATTACAGTGAAAGGTGTTAGCCTCAGCAGTTATTTGGAAAGCTTAATGGCAAGCTCAATATCCTCCAATGCTAGAAAGGTAGGTGTATGAAGTATGTGTGTCGATTGTGGCTCAAGCAAAATGGATCATTTATGGCTTAAATCAAGTAATCTTTTCAGCGCTTATGTGATAGCATTATTCACGTATATGGTGATTCTTTTGCTTTTGACAGAGTCCAAAAGGGTTCTTTATTTACATTCCACTAAAAAGCAGTCCACAAATTCAATACTATTAAATAATAAGGCATTTGGAGCTAAGAAAACTTTATCTGAACCAGTTATTTTTAGTTTGAGAAGTAAATTTGTTGCATTAATACTTAGCATTTGAGTCAGCATTCACAAAATTCATTGCTGTGCACAGACTCAAACCGTGGTACCTGCTTTTTGCAGGTGGGAGCAATTTGCCATGCAGTGTAATGGATGGTCCATTAGTATTTAGATCAGGGATCCCTCAATATAACTTTCTTGGTGCCTGCCAAGTGGTTTTAGAAAGTTGGTGGGGTTCCTGCTCAACAGGGCTTCTGATCTGATTGGCTGTGGAAATTAAAATGTTGTTTTGGTAGTAGCTACAACCAGTTTTGGGTTTTATTTTCGTACTCCTTTTTCTTAGTGTATTCATTCAAATAATGCCTTTTGCATTTGGCTTTCCTTTGTGGTTGGCTTAGCCTCCCATAGTGGCCATTTTGTGGTTGTGCCCACCACGTGTCAGAATTCCAAAGGTGCCCATTGGCTCAAAACGTTTGAGGACCTCTGATTTAGATGAAGACAGTTAAAATGGTAATACTTAGGCCCTAGTGGGCCAACAAAAACTTACAGCTGAAAGGGGGAAACAGGAGTAATGAAGGCTAGTCATGTGATCTAAACAGTCTGCTCACCAACAGGAAATGTAGCTGCCAGCCTCATAAAGACAGAGGTCTGAGTAATGTTCCAAGTGGACTATAGTCTTCCACAGTGGTGGCTTGAGCCAGGTAGGTTTTCAGAATGGGTAGGCCAATCACCTTCTTGTTCTCTTGGCGTTCAAAACACAAGAAATGAGAACTGCGTACATTTTAGATGTCCAGATAATAGAGGAAACTGTTTACATACAATGTCTATTGTTTCCTTCTATGTCAAGAATAGGGATGGGCACGAACCGAATTATGAACCGAGCCCAGTTTGCAAGCCTCGATTCATGCTTTTTTTCCTTCTTTGGTCTTTCACAAGCTGAACCGTTTTTCATGGAGGTTTGTGGGTCAGACATGCTGGCGCTGATTAATCAGTTGTCCAGGCAAGGGGGGGGGGGATGGACTTTTGCAGCCCTTCTGCAGCCCTGGAAACACCAATAAGGGCCCTCCAGAACTTGATCGAGAGCTCTGGCTGCCAACATTCTGGGAGCAGAATGGATGTATACCCCCCGCTCACTCTCAGCTGCTTTCACTTTGCAGCAGGCAGTTAGGCAGAGAGGGAGTAGTTACTGTTGGAGGCAGAGAGGGAAGCAATTGGAAGTCTGTGTGAACAGTGTTGGTGCTTCAGGGCTCTGAGGCACCTGTCCCTCTGCTACAGCCAGGCAGAGGGGCTCAGCCAGTGGATTCTTTGGCTGAGGACCCTCACAGTCCCCCTCAATGGGATTTTTGTGCACCTGTCCCTGGCTGGGGCAGTATCTGGTGATCTCAGGGCTCTAGCCCACAGTTGTCCCTCTGCTGTAGCCAGAGGGGCACAGCCAATCCTCACTAAAGCCTCCCATAGCCAGTCCTCACCAAACTTGGAGGGCAGGTAGAGGGGCACTCCAGGGAGGTCCTCTGTGAGTATGATGTCTCTAGCTTGCAGGGGGGTCATTCCTGGGGCACCTGCTTTGGGGGGCTGTAACTCAGCCCCCCTAAATTCAATCCTCACCAGATGTGGCAGGCAGGTAGAGGGGAGTCAGCTGGAGACTCACTGTGAGTTTGACGCCTGTAGCCCTCAGGGGGCCCGTTCTACCACACCACAAACCTCACAAACTGGTTCATTAAACAAAGTCATGGAAGTTCATGGTTCGTGAAAACCGCAAACCTCCATTTTGCTGGTTCATGCCCATCCCTAGTCAAGAACTGTGAATAATAGTTCACATTCTAGTTGCCCTGTGTGGGGAGTGTCTTGAAGGAAATCTGAAGTGCTTTTGTGCTGAAGTGCTAAAATTGCTAGAACATGTTCCTTGACCCGTGTTTTTTTTTTAATGAGTTTTGGAGTAATAAGTTGGTGAAAAGTGACTGTTCCCTTAATGCCACACTTAAAGGAAGGTGCATGAAAGTATCCCATGCGTTTGGTGCAGCGGGATGAGGAGATTACAAGAATACAGTAGCACTAGATCTATTTGTGTATATGGAAAAGGTGAATGAAGTTCAGAAGAGCTGGTTTTACGGAGACCAGCTAGCTGGATTTTCATGTCGGTTGACAGCTTTGATGGCATGGGCTCACTGTTTGTGTGATCTTGAGGTCTTAATCTCTGCCAGCTGCCAACAATTTTACTCCTCTAAGGCTGCAGTGCTAAGTGTGCTTACTAAGGAGAAAATCCATGGAACTTTTGAGTATGCATGGGTAGACTGGACCATAGAGCGACAGCTGAGTAACTCGGCTCTAAAAAGAATATTATCGGGTAGGGGCTGTGTGTTTTGGACCCTAAACAAACTGATCGGAATTGGCACCCAGATTAATGTGGGATTGAGGTGTGACTCAAGCTAAACATGACTGACTTTCGGTTGGCAATTCTTTGTAAGATTTGTGTGTGTGCATGTGCCCTTCAGAAAGCAATAAACTGCTGGTTCTGTTGAGCTGTTTTGCTGTAGTTCTATGTCACCTTTCCTTTTTAATGTTACCCCCCCCCCACTGTCTCACATTACCTAGTTATATTACTTTACAAAAGAATGTGAGCTCTTCTCTTGCTGTCTTTATTTGTGCATTCTAAGGCAATTTCATGTAGTGACTTTACCAAATCTCCACAAGGAAGTCACCATGTGCAAGAAGTGGACCTTAAACTAGGATGATATGAACTGAGCAGAAACATGTATACTCATTTGGGCTGTGCTTATCTCTGCCACTGTGTAGGGTGCCCTCAAAATCCCGCTCTGACCCCTCAAAACCTTTGAGGATATTGCGTGAAATTTACAATGATACTTGGAAATGCTTTATATGCGGGCTCATGAGTTTGCAGGATTGTATTTGGAATGATGCTGGAAGAACTTTATGACATAAGTTGTAAATCTTTTCTGTGTTACTCCAGGGGTGGGATGCTATTGAGTGGACAATTCAACATTCTGAAAGTGCTTTAAGCTAGCAGTCTCTTTCTACAGATGCACTTTGTACTAACTAGTGGTAATATACCAGCATTTGTTACCTTGGTACTGCATTTCATTTTCTAGCAAATCTGTGCATGTGTTTGTGATGTTACTTGAAAAACGTGCATGCCTCATATATGTGTATATATACACACACACACTGCATATCCAGGAACTGCACCCTTATTCTTTTTAACATAGGAATTGGGGAGCACTGGTTACTTCTAAAGGTTTTGCCAAAAGACAATTGAGAGGTTCAAATTTTTTTTTTTAATAATCCCCACCCTTCTGTTCTAGGATGTTTTCCATTTGTTGGTTAGAAAAGTAGAAAGCTAGACTTGATTAAAAATATTGTGAGTGCTTGTGAAGCTACTGGTAGGAAGGTGTGTTGATCCAAGACCTTTGGGTGTTTTATACTTTAGGTTGTTAGTGGTTCCAGTTATTTCTGGAAGGCCTGTGGTATAGCAGTTTTTGCATGTTGTCACCAGTGTAGGAACGTAACATTATCATTGGTTGGGCACAGTGGTTGTTCTTTAGTATGCAGTTTTATAGCTCACCATCAAAAGACTTAAATGTGGTGTCAGATTATCTCATTAAGATGCCCTCAAGGCTAGAGCTAGAGGAGACGAGAGGTCCATGGCTGTCACTGAAAACAACAGCGCTGTGAGGGCAGGTAAAGTGTTGGTATGACTGTCTGCCATCCGACATCTTGTATTACTAGACATTATCATGAGAAAGAGGGACTGACATGGAGGAAGCTCAATGACGGTTGCTGTTTTTAGCAGCATTCATGTGTTATGTCTAGCTCCGGCTTTTCAGAGTATTGTTACCATACTAGTGTCTACCTTGTCCTCATTGGCTTAAAACTTAGGCAGGTTACCGAAACTTACTTTAATGTAAGTATTTGTGTTGTGATAATAAAATAAGTTTTGTCTTTGCATTCCCACACTGCCACATCTAACACAAGTGTACAGTTTTGAGAGGCATGTTAGCAACTGTTTAAACAGTTTTTACCTGTTTTGCTTGACCCTCAGGTCCTTGTAGATGACGGATAGGAGAGCTGTCATCAGGATCGCCTGGAATTTTTAAAATACATCTGCAGTGGGGGAGGGGAATTGGGTTGGGACTGTAGTGCTGTTGTGGAGTTAAAGCTACCCCCCCCCCTCGTTTTCCCAATTTGACCCTTTTTTATAAAAGCTGCCTCTTTCCTTATAGGGCAAACATACCAATATCTTTATGTCTTCTTCCATGAAGCAAAAGCAACTTCTGGTGAGGTGTGAGCGTGATGAGATTTAAATTGAGGGAACTGGCACGGGAGAAATAGTTCTCTCCCCAGTGCCCTGTCCCTGCCTGATTCTAGTCCTTCGACCACTGCACCACCAGATCTTATCTTGGATGTTCTCTTTGACAGTTCCGTTGGAATTTCTTACCAACTTTGAAATGGATAGATCAGTCCTGTGCTTGCACTCCTTACTATCCACTTGAGTCCAAACACTTACCCAGTATGTCACAGAGTTGTGTCATACTTAAATGCATTTGGATTTAGAGTGTGTGTATATATTCTTTAAAAAATAGCAGTCGCTTTGTATGTGTTCAGTTTTACTGTTTAGCTTGTGAGACTCTTTAGGCAAATATTAATCTTTAAGGGAGTACAAAATACTAACCACTGAAAATATTACACCTCATTTTTAACTTGCATTTTGTATGCTCGCTGTACTATTACCATATGCATTAACACTTTAGGTGCATGTTTTAGTCGTTTAATGTGCTTGCTTGAAGGCATAACCTGTTTTAAGGTACCTTAGAAATTCTGTAAACCAGTCCTCTGTCAGAATGTAGTTTGCTCATATTGTGTCTGCTTGGGTCAAGCAGTCCTTTAGAGTAGAATGAAATTGAATCATCTTTTGGGGGCAAACAGGATGGGGCATGGGAATATCCACAAGTGGCTCTTTGCCACATTTATCTTTTGGTAAATAGCTTCCACAGGGGGAAGGGGGGACACTAGAATCCTCCCTTTGCCAAGCCAGTTTCTTATCCTCAAATGTTCCATCACCAAGCTGTGGTATGCCTATTGTGCTGTGGCCCTGATCCAAATTGGGGTTGGCCTGGCTGGTATCTCTCAGTATAAAGCACATTAGAGGTCCATTCCTGGTTCTTCCAGTAGCTCTTCTGATCTGTCCCTCAGTGACTTTGGAAAAGGATGAGTAGCCAGTACTTGCAAGAAGTGCTGCAGAAACTCTGGAAACCACAAAATTCGGTTATTAAAAAAGCTGCAGTGACTTCTTGTTGATTGGCTTCTTCAGATTCTTCTAGTTGTTTTGTCTCCGTGACTTCGTATGGTGTGCTCAGACCCAGCTTTACTTTGCTGTAGCCCCAGGAAACTTACTGTTAACAGCACTGAGGGTAATTTACTGTAATGATCTGCTTTGAATTAATGGGAATTGAGTGGCAGAGTGTGTTGGAAGTGTGCAGTCGATCATTTATGATTAGAAATGCTTGATGCTACGAAGGCGACAGCTCTTGCTCTCCACTCTGCAGTGATCCTGTGGATTCTGCCCTCAGCTCTTCACAGTAGAGCCGGATGGTGGTATTAATGGGTTCCCTAGTCTTGCATTGTACTTTGATTCCAGAGCCGGATGGTGCTGTTGGGTTCAAGGATGGAGCCAAAGCTGACTGTCCTGGGACCAAAACGAGACTTTAAAATCAGCCTGTATTTCTTTTTCTCTATTTCAAAAAACATAAGTAAATAAAAATTAAAAATGTCCATGTAGGCCTCCCTGAAAGAAGTAGGGCTTATATAGTTTTGCTTTGTTTTTTAGAGGCCTACCTAAGTGACAGATTTATGTCTTTTCTGCCTGGAACCCAGCGCTGTGTAGTTACGGGGCAGGGGGCCTTAGGGACGCATAATATCAAACTCTTCAGCACTCTCTCTCTCTGTTACTGTTGCCAGGATTTGAAATGGTGGGGTGGGGTCCATGTGTTGTATGTATTCTCCTGCTCTTAATGTATTGTTTTCTACTTTGACTTTACATGATGTATCATGTCTGATTCTTTTCTGTACTGGCTCTGTTTTTGTAATCTTAGTCCTATTAAGTTGCATTTGATTACATTGCTTTACACTGTGTAATCCACTGTGAGTCTCAGTGGGATGGATGAGTTATAAAGTAAATATATAAAATGGTTTGGTCCAAGACTACTGTGTAGATATGTCCTAAAACTGTAGTTCTTCAATTTACTACTGCCCCCTAAGCATGCATGATTACCAACTGCCCCCCCTCCCTGCCGTAAGTAGAAGATGAAGACATAAAAAAGCACTGTAGACAAGGCCCACCTACATACAATATAGGTATATATGTTGTATTTGCCTATTTATTTTATTTATTTATTTTAGGTATTTTTATCCCGTCCTCCCCGCAAGCGGGCTCAGGGCGGCACCACAGTTGCATTAGCTGCAGATCTTCGTGCCTGATGGTTAGATTTGATACTTCCTCGCTGTATGCTACTTTTTTAAGGGCCAGGAGGAGAAATTTGGGGTTGTATTCTCCAGGCAAGATACAAAGCGGCTGTCTACCTCTGGCTGTCAGAAGCCATTGCAAGCGGGGAGAAGGCACTGTTTAACATCCCAAATGCTTTCCATTGACCCCAGAGTTCACAATGGTCCCCAAGATTTGTAGATCCCCCCCCCTGTTTAAAATCACTTTGTCTAACATTTTCTTTAGTCAAATTTTGCCTGTTTACTATTGTTTTATCTTTTCCCCTCAAATGAAAGTGCAGCAAGGCAAGTAGCATTTTTTTTTTCGTTTTAGAAATGGCTCATACAGAATGTTTAATCGGGAAGTGTAGAGAACAAACCAACACCGGAGATACACAGTAAACGGGATGTAACAAGGAAAGCCAAAACTGTGTATAAACAAAGAACCATTCAAGTACAACATGAGAATATCCAAAATAATTTATAACTATGAATAGTATTAGGACTCTTCCTGTATCTTTTACTTGGTTGTCGTGTGGACTGCATTCATCCAAACTAATCTCCTTGCAGACATATTGTGATGTAGGTAAAGAAGCAACACTGTCTCACAGGATTAAAGTATCACTGGTCATTCTGTGTGGAAAGTAATACTTTAATTGTGCCATTCATATTCTGTACGAAGGCAGTACAGATTCTGAGGTCTGGGCTTTAGGAAGCAAATTTGTGTGTGTGTTTAGTTTGCATAACGTATTCAGTTTCTAAGGTAAGATTTCAAAAGTAGCGGCCATAGCCCAGATGAGAACTGCAGTGACAGTTCATGAGCAAAGATATCAGTGTGTAAATACAAATGGCTTGGCAAGTGTTGAGGACAATCAGTTGTACGGTACCCCTCTAAGCCAGTTTACTTCAGTAGACTTAGACTCTGTTTAGGACTGCACTACCAGACATCTGAACAAGATCTGGGGAAGTTGGAGGGGGGAGAGAATATTGTCACTACTTCTCGGGTGGCTTACAAAGGAGTTTCTTGTGTACTATGGCAGGTTCCACTGGATCAAACAGTTTGTTTTTACCCTAAGCTGGTGTTACAATGAGCTGCCGTTTGTCCCTTTTATCACTGTAAAGAGGTGCAGCTGGATTTCAGACTCTTTCATATTTGGTTTTGTTTATTCTATAGGCTTGAATGTTAAGATCCAGATCTCGTTAAGTTAAATTCTTGTAAAAATGATGTTAACTTGCTTGGTTTTTGTTACTCCTGAGCTGTACTGAACTTCAGCTGCAAGGCACACAATTAGGGTTGGGTCCAAATGATTCCCTTCTGCTAAGGACTCCTTAGCCAGCAAACAGAAATCACTGGATCGAACTCCTACGATAACTTCAGGATAAAGAATAAAATAGGACAGATAAGCAATTCTGGTAAAACACCCTTGTTAGGACTAACCAGTTTTCCAAAAGTGGCATGTAACGTCTTAAGTCACACAGAACTATTTCTTGGGCTGGAGATAGAAATGAGATGGAGGAAGATGTTTGGGTGGGCGAGGGCATGGTGTAATAAACTCTCTATGTGGTTTATTTTCACTATTTTTACAAGATAATTAGAGTTGAAATATGCCCTATGCAGAAGGCCTCTGACAGAGGCATGCTGGGACTGTTTTTGGAAATAGCCATTCAGGAATCTGTCTCTAGTGCGAATCAAAACTGACAGGTGACTTGTAGGATACGACCTAGCAAGACTAATCTAACCATGGATCCTGCTGTAAGATTAGGTTGTGATTTTGTAACTTCGTTGGCATTGTAGTACTGGCAGCAGTGCATTGACTGGTATGCCTCTGATGTGCTTCCTGTTACCTCAGCTCCAGGACTGTCCTCTTACATCACCATAGCGGTGGTAGAATTTCGGCAGTGCAAGACCTTAAGAAACCTATCCATAAACCCAAAGAGGACAAAGCAATTTGGTTTTGAAGTCCTCTTCTAGAATCTGACAGAGGAAAGATTTAGAAGTGTATCCTGAAGCACTGTGTCTGTTAAATCCATTAAGTTCTTGTGCTTTCTTTAACAGGGTCGAGAAGCCTTGGAATGGGTGATTGGCAAACTGAACACAGAGTTTGAGGAACTAACTTCATCCACGCGAGGGAGTGTGAAGGCAGCAATGGCAGCAGCTTCAATGGAGAATTGATGGACTGTAACAGAGAACTTTATTTTTTCATTAGATTTTTTTTGCCAAGATGGATACTCCATAGTTTTTTATATATTTGTTTATATTATGAGAATTTTACAGGCTAGAAGTTACATTTCCCTGTAAAATGATTGGCCTCTTAGGCATCTATTTGTTCACATTACAGATGAAAGCAACTGTCATTTTTTTAGTTAAAATTTTCCATGTAGCGACAATAGCCTGGCTTCTCCAAATTACGGTGACCTCATGTCCCACTAAAGTGAATAGATGCTCATCAGATATATTATTACCAAACTGTGCCTTGATCAGATAGCTAGAGAACAGAGTTTCCAATTTATACCGCATTTTATTGTGCTTAATACTTAATATTTATTTATTTTTTTAAAGCGCAGCTGAAGTTGTTCTGTAAAGAACACTTAGGTACATAAGCACTGGAAATTTTGTCAGTCTCCAAAGACTAGTTCAGAGAAAGAGCAAGGGCATCACAGAGATGGTTGACCAGGAAAGCTTACTCTGAGATAGTTTACCCAGTTTTGCTGGGTAAAGGCCTCTTTGCTCTTTGAGGCGCTTGATCAAGCCACACTGAAATGAAGGTTAATGAAGCAGAATGGTTGTTTGGGTGGGTTGTGTCCTCAGTCGAAGGTCTCTGGTCCCTGCATGAAGCTTCGTCTTCCTCTTCTTGGACTGTTCAATTACAGAGTCTGAACAAAATATGTAATACTTGACCTCTAGTATTTATAATCAAACCACTGATAAAGGCAGAGTTCCAGCTATTATGCTGGAGTTAAACATCTTTGAATCTTTAAAAAAAATTGTAGGCATGCTCATCAGTGTATATTCACTCTGGTGCATTGCTTTCTATTTACAGTTTCTTCCAACCAACATTTGGAGTCTCGGTTGCTTAGCTCCTTTCTTAATTTACACAATAGATTTCAAGACTGTGACAGACCCATTCCTTGCCAAGCCCATTTCATGCTCTGTTTCAGGTTTTCTGAAGGAGCCTGCTTTATGCTTGAAGGGAGTATGACATGAAGAACATACTTTGCAGACCCGGTACTTTTGCCCAAGCCCATTCCAACTTAGTGGATCTTTCTTCTAAGTAATGCATTTCAATAAGGCCAAATGGAACACGTGTCAGACTCAGTTGTGGCGACTATAGGCCTGCATAGTTCATGCAGAATGCTACTTAAAAGGAAAAATAAGAAGGAAGGTAAAACTTTATGGTATCTAAACCTTTCTAGAAGCTTATTAGATATGTGAAGCTCATAATGAGTAGTTTTAAAAGAATATAATTCTGTTAATACATCACTATTGAGTCCAGCAATAAGTGTACAATAGAAAGGTTGGCAATAGTTTAATGAGCTTCCAAGCATTCTGTCATTCAAAAATAAATTGGAGGGAGAAGAAAAGGCGATCCACAGAGACAAAAATGTCAAGAATGAGACTGAATTGTCTGCTTATAGCCAGCAGCATGAAAATACTTCATTAATTCCTTTGAACTGTGCCTCTTTAGATTTAGAAAGGGAAAAATGGGTGTTGAATGCTAGCAAGAAATCAAGGAGAGAGGGGCTGAAATTTTTTTGCCGATTTGTTTAGCCTTGGAAAAACCTAGAGCAAGGTCCAAGGGTAATACCAAAATTCCATCATAAGCAGAACTCTCTCACTGCAAGCACAGCAGTGTGCTAAAGTAATAAAGAGATCATGCAACCAAACTAGATGAACTGTCTGTGTTATAAGTGGAATATACTGATTTTTTACCCTAGCCTCCCCACTCATGCTCATCAGTATGACTGATTTTAAAGACAATGCGATATCTGTTTTATCAAAAAGAACCGGGTAACCTGAATGAGACCAAAGCACGCTTTGTGCCAAGATGTTTCCTTAAAGGGAAGTTGTGTTGTGTTGGGTTACAAATGCCCTACCCTCCACGGAGGGCATCAGGTCCATCATGGAAGAGGTGTAGTGGCTGTAACACTGGGAGCCAAAGTCTAGCATTTCATCCCATGAATGGACTAGTTAGCAAAAAGCTAACTGATCTTCATCCGCATACCATCTTAACTCTCTTTCCTTCACTATCAGCTGCTTGGTCGCTTTCTGTAATAATTTCCACTTCTGTGTTCTAGGGTGGTCATGCTTTCGCCATAAGCTGCTTGCTGCGGAATTTTGCATATGAACTCTCTTGTGACTCCAGCTCCATAGTTTGTTGGGCAGCCTCTTGTTACCCTGCTCTCTGAAAATCTCTCCTCTCATTCTCTGGCTCCCTTGTGAGTCTGCTGCCACCTTACACTGAACAAGCAAGCCACGTACGGGAAAAGTTAGGGGCCCTCTGGTTCCTTGTTGACTGTATCAGATCTATTTCCCCCCCTTTTTTTAATTTAACATTTTATACATAATACAAACCAACAAATTTACGAACATTCACCAAACAAACCAAACTACATAAAATATTTTTGAAAGCTTTTGTGGTAGATACCCAACTCAATACTGACCACTGTAATCTTGTAATACGGTTTTGCCCATACTACCTCTAGCATAGTTGTCCTTGCTTTTGTCTCTCTTCCCTTCATATTAAGGCACCGCTTATGAAAGACCACCGGCTGCCAGCGGAGCAGATGTTGGTGTCCCCCCCCCCTTCAAAATGAATCATGAGGGTGGGGAGAGCCAATTAAGGCTCAGTACAGGAATGCGGCGGAGGACCGGAGGGCCTGGCGGGAGCTGGTCCATGGGGTCGCGAAGAGTCGGACTCGACTGTGCGACTGAACAACAACAACAGGAATGCTGGCCAATTGGGGACTGGCTCGCTGACCAGGTCTGGCGGTGGCCACTCTCCTCGGCAGTCCGGTCCAGCCACGAGCTCCTAGTTTTCCTTTATTGGGGGTTATTACATTGACATTCTCTGCTTTGAATTTGAAAGCAAATTGAATATTGTTTGGAAATCCACTTTCCTGTCACTTATCCAAATCACTGGCTCAGGGATTCACTGTGTAAAGATACCTGTTCTTCTGTGTCACCTGCCATCTCAGCATTAGACACAGTTATGTATATTATTATTTTTTGCACACTTCTCATTCGCTTCTTAGTTTTACAGTATCTGTAATGGATATGGAAACACCATAATCAGAAATTGGAATGTGAACTACTTGGATGCTGCCTTACATATGCGTTTTCTCCACTGATAGATGAAACCGTGCTGCATTAATGAAACCAAAGTCCTCCCCCTTTCTTCTTGTGGTGGTGGTTTAATAATGCATTATGCAGTTGGTCGTGGCTTTGTTTTTTATTGTAAAGCAGTTGCCACACCTGTAACCTAAACAGCATGACCTTTAATTCTGCTAGATAAGGAGGTCCGATTGAGAATTTTGTCTTACTGAACGTTCCAAAGAACCACTTTGGAAGTTTGGTGAAGCGAGAATTTCCAAAACTGCCGGAAGATTTGCCTCACCTGCTATAATCATGGCTCAAAAGCAAGGGAAAAGAAGTTTGCATGGCACACTACAAAGAGGGAAGGGAAGGTGTTGTGCAGCCATTATAGGTTACTATCACATGAAGGGGCTCATTTGGTGGAAAGGAGCTGTGTTGTTTTCTTTCAACCAGCTCACTCTGCTTGCTTGCATTCTCAAGATTAGTTTGGATTAATTCACAGAAAGATAATTCTGCCCATGACAGCAGCAGTGCAAATGAGCCGGGGGGGGGGGGGGGGGGGGTGTTTT